AGAGTATTTATCAGGTTTCTATGTTATTTATATTGTTTATATCATATTAGATGAAGTGAGATAGATAAATAAGCCATAGAGTTGATATTAGCGAAATTATTGAAGTACAGAATTCCACTGGAACGGATTAATTGCATTTCAGTTAATTTAAATGAGGAAAATTGACTCTGCAAATGAGCAAATCCAGTTGCAAGCAAAGTCATGGAATGGATTAAACTCGCAAGTAGAGGTTCCACTGTATTTGCTTTGCTCTCTCCTGCAAACCCTTCCTCATATATTTCCTTCATATTCCATCCACCTAAGAATTATTCACCCTCAATGGAAATGAGACAGACAGTCCTTTATGATGCACTGACTTTCGTGGGTTATCCTGGAAGGCTAACCCTTCAGGTTAAAAATCCAAACAAATTTTATCTTATTAGTATATGCACAGATAGATTGCATTAAATTACTGACTAGTACTCCTGACATTCATACTATGCAAAGTGACTACATATCTGGCTCCATTTATTCTATACTATTCAACCTTGAAATTTAATTGGGTTCTTAATTCACATGATTTGATTGTGCAGCTGTTTTATCAATGGCTAACCCATGAATACATTTTATATTTTGTAGGTTTTTCACTGTGCTCAGTTCTTTTTAAAGTTTGGCATATTTTTTTTTATTAACACATCAGCTATTTCCCACCAAGGCAGGGTGACCCTGAAAAAAAAAAGAAATACTCATCAATATCATTCACTCCAGCACTGTCTTGCCAAAGGCATGCCTACAACAACACATCAACACTCCTCCTTTAGAGTGCAGGCACTGTACTCCCACCTCCAGGACTTAAACCTGGATTGCCGGTTTCCCAAAATCCCTTCATAAGTTTGGCGTATGACCCCAAAATTGAAAACCATCCACAGAATTTCATTTAAGATGTACTCAATTGCTTTCTCATGCCCCACTCTCTCTCTTTGCCATGCTTATGACTGTCCAACATTAGCCATATTAGAGCAGCATATATAAAGAGATACAGTCTTTGAAACGCAAAATGAACCTAAATCCTAAAAAAAAATACGTTGACATAATTTTGTGCCATTCACAGACTCTTGATTTGCTGGACTGAAAGGAACATAATCTTTGTGAATGTGTGGGTTTTACATAAACCATAACAATCAACCCTTTATTTTTTCCTCAGTGAATTTTTCATTACAATTATTTTTTTAGTCATTATTTTCTGCATAAATTCTCACTACTGCCTCTAGTCTCCTATTGGAGGCTATGCTGCAGATTATTATAAAAATGTTGACTTGGCTATTATCCTTTTTGTTCATTGGGTGTCCATTGAAAAAGCTTTTCTTTCCACAGATTCCTCAATGCTTCTGGAAGAGTGTTCTTTTCTTTTCTTAGGAATATATCATTCTAAAATGCTTGCAAGATCCACTCTTCTTCAATTTTTGGATTTTTTTTTTAGATTAGAGTTTTTATCACTATATTCTTCAACAAGAAAATTTACATGCATTTCATTTTCATTGTGAGCATATACTCTGTAATTTTTTTAACCATTTTATAGGTTTGTGGATGGCTAAAAAATTATGCAATATATTTTATTACTCCCTTAAGACACTGGCATAATAACTGTAAAGCAATTTTAGTAAATATTTTTAATATTAAAGAAATTTTTTTAGAAATTGGCTATAAGCCAGTAAATTACTGAATATCACTTGCTAATTAGACCATCCTGCAAATCCCCTGACTTTAGACAGTAAGTACATTAAGATGTTAACATTCATTATTGACCCATATCATCAAAATTAAAATCCTTTCCCCTAATTATTTTTTATTGCCACTGCAAACAAAGTATTGCAGTGGCACATCACATACACGCTAAGAATACATTTCATGCGTTAGGTGAACATTAGTCCATTTGTTGCTCCACTACTGTACCTGCAAGTGCGAGTCCCCTATTCTAATTCAGAATGAATACTACAGACATAATGAAATCCTTAAATGCAAGTAACAATTTACTCCGGGTATAAGCCAGTCATCACCACAGCAGTCCAACCAAGGGAGGAGCTTCATAATGCCTGTGGTTCAAATAGCTTGAGCAGTGCTGTGAAACACCACCATGAAAACCATTAAAGAATCTGCCTCTCAGTTGCCATTTTTAAAGTAAACACAAGGTCAGAGGTTACTTGTTTCCATCTTGAGTATACCTGGAGAGGGTCAATGCCACGTGGCACAGTCTGTGACCAGGCCTTATGGAGGATCAGGGCCTGATCAACCAGGTTGTTACTGTTGGCCGCACACAACCCGACGTACAAACCACAGCCCGGCTTATCAGGTACTGACTGTAGGTGCCTGTCCAGTGCCTTCTTGAAGACAGCCAGGGGTCTATTGGTAATCCCCATTTTGTATGCTGGGAGGCAGTTGAACAGTCTTGGGACCCTGACACTTATTGTGATGTCTCTTATCATACTAGTGGCACCTCTGCTTTTCATTGGGAGGATGCTGTATCGTCTGCCAAGTCTTTTGCTTTTGTAGGGAGTGATTTTTGTGTACAAGTTTGTTAGGAATCCCTCTAGGATTTTCCAAGTGTATATAATCACATATCTCTCCTGCCTGTGTTCTAAGGAGTACAGGTTGAGGAACTTCAAGCATTCCCAGCAATTGAGGTGCATCTAAGTCAAAAATTTACTGCTGATGGCATATTTCAGGTTACTGTGATTAAGACAGATCATCATAAGCACCGCTGGTCTCAATAATGTAGCTCTACATTAAAGATAGTGCAAAGGTTAATTTGAGAAATAATTATAAAACTTTGCAGAAGAGTAGGCTCAGTGCATTTACCACTGATTTTTATTAAAGGATAACAGTTAAAAAATCGCATAACAACAAAAAGTGCACAATGACCTCACTTTTCAGTTGCATAAGAACAAATTTTTACCACATATAGCTAATTGGTAGTAGAAATAGTCACCGCACACAAGAAACCACGTATGTATAGCTAATTGACGATAGAAATAGGATCATCGTTCACGGGTGAAATTGTTTAAAACAGATCCATGTAAAGTGAGTGGAACCTGTATTTTGTAGATACAGTACATAGTCGGTATTCTATTTTAACCCTTTCAGGGTCCAAAGGCAAAATTTCCAGGAGTGCCCCAGTGTCCAAGAAATTTTGAAAAAAAAAAAAAAAAATTCTTACAGAATTAAAGATAATAATTCTGTGGAGGTAATAAAACAAAAAAAATTCTGATCAGTACTTACTGAGATACAGAGGCGGGAAGTTGACCCAAAATGACCAGGTGGCGGCAACATCAGCGACTTCCGCAAAATTGCATTTCTTTATTATGTTTTTTATACTTTTTTCTTTTCTTTTCTAATTTTTTCTTTTTCTACTAACATTTGTGGCCTGTGAGACCAATACTGTATATATATACACTCACTGCATTGAACACAATAACCACACTAAAGTTATTATTATAATATTGTTTACCAGTATTGTTTACAATAAACATGCACAAATGTTGTATATTACTAATGTTCTATTATATATTTACATATGTACAGTCACTGGACATGTTTCTAGAACTGCTGCAGTCTGTGGAAGTCCTTGAAACAAGATATCATGCACAGAGGTACCTTACATTCCTTGCACATAAACCGAGTGCCTTTGAATCATTGTTCCTGTCATTTTGTGCACAGACAACACATCTCTTCTGAACCCATTTCTTCTTAGTTGCAGGAAGCTGTATTAGGAAGTGATCACCTTCCTTCCTCAAATGCTTGGGTATTTCCTGAGGAGTTCGAGGACGGTTTTGTATAGGTGGTGTTGTTACCTGGTACTTCATTATGAGTTGTCTGACAACAGACAAACAAAATTCACCATATGGTGATCTGTTGCCGGTCTTTATTTGGAACATATTATATGCATTGAGCATTGAAATGTCCATGAGATGGAAGAAAAGTTTCATGTACCACTTGTAACCCTTATGAACACAATCAACAAAGCCAATCTGCATGTCACATTTGTCAACCAAACACAGATTTTGTGTATAATCAATCACTGTTACTGGTATTCGAATATGTTCATTGGTGACTCTATAAACTTTGCCACTGTCTCTCATTTTGTTAGGGTGAATGGTTGTCAACAATGTGACATCTCGTTTGTCATGCCATCGCAATGTCATGATGTCATTGGCAGTAAACACCTGTACCTCAGCAGCACGAGTGCCTGCGTTGAACTTGGGCATGTGTTTACGATTAGAATGCGCTGTGCCACACACATCTGTCATGTTCACTTGCAAGAAATCACTGAGTAAAGGGCTTGTGTACCAGTTATCAGTATATAATGTATGCCCCCTACCAAGATAAGGTGCCATTGTGTTTCTAACTACATCACCTGAGATACCCAATAACATCCTGGTATCTTTCAATGTTTTACTTCCTGTGTATACAATAATATCCAATACCAGGCCACTGTCAGTCACAGAGTACAAACAGTTTTATACCAGAGCATTTCCTCTTGCTCGGTATATACTGCTTGAATGTCAGTCTACCTTTGAACAAAATCAGAGACTCGTCAATTACAAGATTCTTGAATGGATGAAAGTACATGTTGAACTTTTGTTTCAGATACATAAAAGCATTTCTAATACTGTATAACCTGTCACTTCTGTCAGGCCTGGTTTTGTCAGAGAAGTGCAACGTACGTAACAGTAAGATAAACCTGTTAACTGGGATGATTTCACTGAAGGCCAGGGTACAAATTAGCCGGTCTGTGAACCAGTATGATTTTATATTATGCTTATAGACATGAGGCATAAGCATTATTGTTGCAAAAAGCAAATACATTTCAGCCACAGTTGTCTCTCTCTACCGGTGTAGTTTTGACTGTGGTGATATGATCGTATTTGCCATGGTGTACTAAAAATACTTGTTACTTTTCCTGATAATAGTTTCCATCAAGGGCTGGTCAAAGAATAGTTCAAAGAATTCCAGTTCATTTGCAGTGTTTCCAAGGAAACAAGCTGGTAGTATTCCACTTTGAGAGTCGTCAAACTGATGGGGAGTGGGAACAAAATTGGAATTTTGCTGCCAATCCCAGATGCGATTTGCTGGTAGATACTGGACATCTTAAGCTGGTTGTGGTTGCAGTTGTAGTTGCGGTGCGGTGGTGGATGACGTTCCGCTTTGTCCTTGATCTAATAAGTCAGTGGCGTGGGTCCCAGCCTGGGCTGGTGAGTCATGCATGGCTGTGGCACTACCACCACCACCACTGTCACCACCAATACCACCACCACCACCACCACCACCTACTGATGCCTGTGGTCTATCCATGCCAAGTGTAGCCACATCATCCTCACTTTCACTGTCTATTCCTGGTGTAGGGCCACGGGATATACGTACTCTGGGATATACTCCGTCCTCTTGGCACTTCATAGGGAACACTAGCCAAGCACATGTGGCGGCGTATATACTGACGCTTCACTAGTGAATATGACTCATCACTATCACTACAGTGGATCCCCGGTTAACGATATTTTTTCACTCCATAAGTATGTTCAGGTGCCAGTACTGACCGAATTTATTCCCATAAGGAATATTGTGAAGTAGATTAGTCCATTTCAGACCCCCAAACATACACGTACAAACGCACTTACATAATTACACTTACATAATTGGTCGCATTCGGAGGTAATCGTTATGCGGGGGTCCACTGTACTCAAATGATTATCAAGATAAATAAATTCACAATCCACATCACTATCATCATCATTACTGAAGTCTGAAGCCTGGCCATGCGAAAATATTAGTTTTCTCTTGCAACGAGGTACAACTGAACGTGACTGAGATGTGCCCACACCAGAAGTAGAAGGTTGAAGATTGTCAGGGTTTTCTGCACTATTTTTGATATCCTGGTCATTGCTTTTGATCACTAATCGATCAAAGCCATGGAAGTTTTCTTTTCCACTTCCATCAGCGTCAGAACTATCAGTTAGGAAGAGGAGAGTCCCAATTTGTCTCTGAGCGAGAGCTGCCTTGCCACGAGGCATAGTGAACAAAACTTACTGAGGCGGTGTTCCCACAATGCCATGCAGGCGCCTAGAATTTTTGTTTACGGCTCACACACGCCATGCAGGCCCGTTGTTTTAGATGTAGACCTACCAGCCTTCTCGCGCTAAATTTGACGCCGCTAGAATTTTGGCGTAGTTATACAGCTTGGACTCTCAACGTAAAGCCGTAAAACTACACACGGACCCTGAAAGGGTTAATAATTCCTATAGCAACCAATTAGTAACATAGTGGCTAGCAGTGATAGATCACATTATATAATTACTGTATTTTCTTGATATAGTAAGGCCTCCATATTCACTACATCAATATTAGAGTTTATCTCATCTCCCTTGACCAGGGAAGCATACTCCAATCAGAAAAGGTAGTAATTTTCCTCCTGTGCCAATTTCTTCTCACAGTTAAGGAAATAGAGATGAAATTTTGCCAACCTCTTTTGGAACTTATCTTAACACTATTTCTATATACACTGTTATGTACATGTTTTTTAAATAATTTGCAATGTAAATGGGAAGTAATAAGTTTTCTTACAACTTCAGTAATCATTGATAACTCATGTTACCAATGGGTATCCATCCTCTTTTCTCAGGCTGAGTGAGATGAGAAAATAAAAATGGAGGCAGCTCATCAGCAGACGTTTGAAGATTCTTACAAATATAATGCTGTATATCCTTGTGGAGAGCTGACCAGTGAAAGAGCTTATGTACTGCAACCTGACAGGGAAAGAAGATATTTTGTGAGGATTACAGAGAATGAAGAAAGGGAACCAGTGTCAGTTGTTAAGAATAATGAGACAAGTTGTGCTGAAGAAAGGGAACCAGTGTCATTTGTTGAAAACGAAGAGGCAAGTGATGGTGAAGAAAGAAGACCAGTGTCAGTCAGAATTAAAACTACAACACATCATGATGATTATGAGGTAATATTCCCTGGTAGTAAATCATTTTGTTTATATCAGTGCTATAGTATTATATGGGCAGTCAGTAGACAGTGTTCTCACAGTAAATATGTATGTCATGAGTGTTCCATTAATACAGTGTATGTAAAACTATAGTTATTCTCTATAAGATGTATTTTTTGTTAAAATTTTGGGGCATCTGGAATGGATTAATTGGATTTACATTATTTCTTATGGGAAATATTAACAAAAAATACATTTTTATAGAGAATAACTATAGTTTTACATACAGAAAAGGGATGATGAAATTCGTGGGTCCACTGTAAATCCTGGGTATGCATTCAAGTGTAGAAATGGTATTTATGTAAACGGATTTTTGTATACAGCAAAGCATAGCTAGACTTTTTTGAACTTTGTGGGATGCTTCCAGTATACAGGGAACCTCTACTTACGAGTGCCCCAACGTGTAAGTTTTTCAAGATACGAGCAGTTGCTCGATCGATTTTTTGCTTCCAGATGCTAGCAAAATTTCAAGATGTGAGCAGGCCTCAAGGGAGGTTCCTTGACACTGGTGAGGGACTCTTGCTCTTGATCATGGGAATTGGATCTCAGTTGTTTGTTGGACTATCATATTGAAACTTGGGCAATGTATGATGGAAAGATGCTTCTTAACGTACACCAAAATTGAAAGAAATAGGACTTTAACCCTTAAACGGTGCAAACGCATGTACATGTATATATATGTTCACCTGTGCAGCGCCCCAAATATTTTGAGAGAAAAAAATCATTTTTTTCTATAGGAAAAAAGAGAATGTGGTATCCAGGCGTCCCCAATTTTTTTCATATGGCGTACACTGAGTGTGCACACCCATTCTCTCACATCTAGGCAACTTAGGCCTATCGTGCCAATGTTGAATGAATGACAAATGAAACGTATATATATGTTTGGGGCGCTATGCGAGAGAATGTATATATATGTTTGGACCGTTTAAGGGTTAAGTAACGGAGTTCACTTCTCAGCCATTAGCTGCCCCTTAGCGGTATATTTTCATATGTTTTTTTTATGGTTGTATTCTCATTTTTTGGTCTCGTTCGATAGAATGAAAGATATACTACAGAAATAGATATGATTTTGATTGGTTTCATGATGAAAAGTACCTTGAAATTGAGCTCAAATTAGCAGAAATGTTCGATTCTTTGGCGATGTTTAAGAGTAAACAAATGACTTCACCATCCAATACCTGTCCGACTGGCCATTCCAATACACAGTCATCAATTGGTTGACATTTTTTATACAATTATTACAGTAATGCAGTAGTCTGCATAGCAGTAAATCTTCTATTTTTTGTGTTTTACCTGGAGTTTACCTGGAGAGAGTTCCGGGGGTCAACGCCCCCGCGGCCCGGTCTGTGACCAGGCCTCCTGGTGGATCAGAGCCTGATCAACCAGGCTGTTGCTGCTGGCTGCACGCAAACCAACGTACGAGCCACAGCCCGGCTGATCCGGAACTGACTTTAGGTGCTTGTCCAGTGCCAGCTTGAAGACTGCCAGGGGTCTGTTGGTAATCCCCCTTATGTGTGCTGGGAGGCAGTTGAACAGTCTCGGGCCCCTGACACTTATTGTATGGTCTCTTAACGTGCTAGTGACACCCCTGCTTTTCATTGGGGGGGATGGTTCATCGTCTGCCAAGTCTTTTGCTTTCGTAGTGAGTGATTTCGTGTGCAAGTTTCGGTACTAGTCCCTCTAGGATTTTCCAGGTGTATATAATCATGTATCTCTCCCTCCTGCGTTCCAGGGAATACAGGTTTAGGAACCTCAAGCGCTCCCAAAAATTAGGTGTTTTATCTCCTTTATGCGCGCCGTGAAAGTTCTCTGACATTTTCTGGGTCGGCAATTTCACCTGCCTTAAAAAGGTGCTGTTAGTGTGCAAAAATTTTCCCAGCCTAGATAGAAAAATGACCTGAAGATGCACGGGGTTTTGGCCCCCAAATTTTAAGGGTTCTCATTATCCTCCTGTCATTTTTCTAGCAGATGCGATTGATACAATGTTATGGTCCTTGAAGGTAGATCCTCCGACTTGATCACTCCCAGGTTTTTTGACGTTGGTGTTTTCGCTCTTTTTGTGGCCAAAATTTTGTTTTGTACTCATAATAAAAATCCAAATGGAACAAGAGTATTACATAAGACTGTTTTTTTTTTTTTTTTTTTCAACAAACCGGCCATACCCCCCAAGGCAGGCTGGCCCAAAAAGAAAAACGAAAGTTTCCCTTTTTTTAAAAAATTTTAAAAAATTTATAACGGGAAAAGGGGGTTACTACCCCCCTTGCCCCCAAACTTTTTTGGGCGCCTCTTACAACACGCTGGCTTAGGGAGAAAATTCGTTCCATTTCCCCCTTTGGAGATAATGGGAAATAAACAAAAACAGAACAAAAAGAAAATAGAAGAAAACCCAAAGGGGGATTGTATTAACAAAAATTACTTGTACATGTATGTGTAGTGTGACCTAAGTGTAATAAATAGCAAGACGTACCTGAAATTTTGCATGTTTATGAACAGAAAAAAGGACACCAGCTTTCTACCTCATGAAAACAATTCAGGTTTTTCGTTTTACACCAGGGCAGGAGGGTAGTACCTCCCGGGGCGTTGCTGTCTACCCACCTTTTACCTAGAATAAGACTTTTATTACTAAAAAAAAAATAAACGTAAAATTTAAAAATAAAATTATACATATAGTATACTAATAGAAAAAATTTAATTAAAAAAATACGACAACAATAAATAATAATAATAATTGTCAATAAAATAAACAGAAATAAATAATAATAAAATAATAAATAGTAAAATAATAATTCAAAACGTAAAAAAAAATTTAAAAACTCATAAAAGTTTTACAAATTTAAAAAATTAAAGCCTCTTATTTCAAATACTCACTTGTACTTCATGTTGTAATTTGTTTACTGAAATTTTTACCACTAATATATCTTTGCTTATTAATCTAAGTTAATTTAAAAACCCTTTAAAGGGCCGCCCCCTAGATCACGGCTTTACTTCCGGGCCCAAACCTAGACACGTCATGAGCCCCACTCCCTGAAAAACGTGAGGGTACACGGGGCCTAGATAGGAAGAATTCTATGTGATGTGTGCACCACATAAAACAAATCCGCAGCACACTGTGTATAATGAGAGAAAAAAACGATCCAAGATTTTCGTAAAACACAATTTGCAGTGTTTTTTTTCGTAGTTTTTTATAGATGTATTGCAATTTTTTGGTCCTTTGATGAAGGAAGACTATTACAGAAAAGAAATTTTGTTTGGTTTGCACGGGAAAATGGCTTGAAACTGACTCAAAGTAGCAAAATGAAAATTTTTTTGCCAATGTTAAAGAGAAAAAAAACGACCTCACACTCTAATACACACCCTGGTGGGTCAATAACATTCACAAAGGTGATGAATTTAACAATTATTACAATATTGCATAACGAAAATCTTCTATTTTTTGGTGTGAATAAAAATTCATTAGTGAATAAAAAACAAAATGGGATTTATTTGTAAAGCCTCAAACATAACTAAGAACCGGGAAAATTTTTTAGTTTAGTCAGGAATGCCTACTTTTTTTTATTCGGATGCTTTTTTGAAATTGGGAAAATTTTTGAACTTGTTTAAAATTTAATATTAACAAAAAGGCACAATACCGGACTGGAACATAAAAAAACCCGCACAAAAAGAGAGAATTTACGACGACTTGGGTCCGACTTTGGACCATTGCAAGTCACCTAACAAGGTGGAGCAGGAGGGCTAAAATAGGCGGGAAAGGGGTGGGGGTAAGTAGTGGATAGAGAGTATAGTATAAAAATTGTATATAATCCGACGGGATGAAATACACATGCACAACCCCCGGGGCATCCCCACCGTAGACGTTTCGCCACCCCAGCCGCCCGGAGGGAAAGTCCACAACAAAGACAACCAGACGCTGCACATGTTCTAATTTCACAGTAATGAGGAAAGAAGAAGAGGTATATAGGGGTAGTGGGAGAGTGGGGGAAAAAAGGAAGACAGCAGTCAAATACAAAGGGAAGGGGGCACTGCAAGAGACTAGAAACCCCCCAGGGGAGGCAAGCCACCGGGTCGTGAAAGGGGAAAGGGGGAAATAAAAATAAGAAGGGAAAAAAACAGACAGGAAGAGAAAGACAACCCAGAGGAAAAAGGAGAGAGGAAAGGGGGAAAAGAAAAAGAAAAAGAAAAGAAAAAAAAATGAGATTTTAGGTTAAGCACGGGGTGTTCGAATTTTAGCATTTTACAATGTAGGGGGGAAAGGGAAGGGATCTACAGAGACGAAGCCAGGGCTAAGGTTCATACAAGGGAAAATTGTGTATAAAAGAGGATTCAAATAAACGGGGGCTGTTTCGAGTTGGAAATAGGAAACATTTTAGCAGAAGACCATCAAAGGATGGCTATGATCTCTGACGTGACAGAAAAGACATTGTTAGTGTCGGCAAGCCTAACACTATTTTTTGTGCTCCCTAAGTCTGCAAAAAAATAGACCAGTTTCTTTTCCCAAAATATTGAAAGGACAGGAGGGGCAAGAAATAGAGTAGACACCGGAACATCTGTAGAGGAGGAAGGGGATAACAGATTAGTGCAAGAGGTTTTTTATCTCCCTCTTTCTCCGTGCCCTCCGCATTTGATCCTCAGTTCCTTCCCGCAGAAATTTTCCCCCTTTATAATTTGTTCTCCCGCTTTTCTACCCTTCCCTTTCAAAAGACCCCGCCCCCTCACGGCTAAACGCAATTTCTTTCCCCCCCAAACTCTCTACTCATGGGGAAATCTTCTATCCTCGCCCTTCCCTACATTTCCGGTCCTTTTTAACTCAACAATTCCTCCGTCCCTTAACTCAAACTTACCTTTCCCCCAACTAACACTCTTCGCACTAAAAACTCGTTTATACCCTCCTCCCTCACAATGTTCCGGTGTCTCTCATTTCTTGCTCCTCCTGTCCTCTTCAATACTTTGGAGAAACTGGT